AAAAAAATCACATCATGTTGCTGCTGATCTGTTTCAATGTTGCTGCTGATCTGTTTCATGTTGCTGCTGATCTGTTTCAATGTTGATGTGTTCATGCGTGCTCATCTGCTCACACGGACTCATGTTCATGTTTGTGCTGATGTTCGACATAATGTTTTTATGTTATGAGTGCTTAGTGTATATTTAGTTGATGTTTTTCTTAGTTCATATCTTAGATGTTATTACTGTTTTTCTTATACATTTTATTGTCGGATGTAACTGGGACCCTGTGTACATAATTTCGCTCCACCACATGTACCACATGAGGTGCGAATGACAATAAAGAAACTCTGACTCTGACTAAATAGGTCTAGGGGAAAAAATATCGGTATTGGTATCGCCCAAATAAGTTTTAACATATTGGCGTATCGGCCAAAAATCCAATATTGTGCATCATTACTCATATAATATAAATAAGGTGTATTAAATCAATTATCTGTATCAGTTTGTTCATCTAGTTTCTCAGTTTACAGCAAAACGCTGAGTCACAACAAATACCGACGTTTGAATTTTATCTAAACTTTTTCTTGTTGACTAAACACCTGAGTTCTGGTTATAAAGCAACTTGAAGGGATGGTTGAAGTTGCCGGTTGCTGTTTGAGTAATTTGCATTCAACACATGAACGTGATTCCATTATAACAAAGAACCGTGACAATGATAGCTGATCTCAGAAATGGGAAATACTGTGTTTATTTTCATGCTTCACTTGGCAGGGTGCCAAACAGATCAATATGTAACCTGGTGGTGCATTCCTCTGAGATTAATAAATGATGGAGCGTCTTGTTGGCCTTCAGGGAAGATGGCCACATCAGAAATTAAACACCTTGAAGGAATGCATATCGCCCGCCATATTTCATGCCAGACTTTTACACTGAAACTCTTTTTATGTTGAAAGAGAACAAAGTTATGGCCATTTTAGCCACATATTTTAATGATGTAATTCTCATGCCTCATTTTGTGATGCAACAACAGAACGAGATGTGAATCATTCTCAGTACTACCTCAACTTTTAACTCAATACCTGTAAAAGTTGCAAGAGTTGTGGCCAGTAAAGTTGATTAGCTTAAATTGGGTTGACTCCAAATGTTATTGAGCTTTAGATGCACACCCAAAGATTACTTTCTGAAAGTTTCACTGAAATCTGCCTAGTGATTGGTGAGATATTCTGCTAACAGACAGACACCGTTTAATCCGACAGTTAATGCTTAAGTTTTACGCTAAAATATTATGCAGCGTGTAGAGCTCAGAGTATTTGTTGTGAATGACTAAATAACTAAATTTTAGCTTAATATCTTCGAAACTCACCGAGTTTGCAGCCATTTTGTATTTGCTCAAGTATTTTAACTGTGGCGTCCGGCTTGAATTGTGGCAACTCCAAAAGGTGATCAGTTGTAGATGAACATCATTCTGAAAGCTTCAATATAATACATCATTTCACTAGAGCCTGATTTATGTTTGGACAGTTTTTGTCCTGTTGAGCTCTCTGAATTGTCAAAATTAATAACCTCATCCAAACCATCCACATTTCTGCTAGATCCCATCCCAACCAGACTGTTTAAAGAGGTATTTCCCCTAATTAATGTCCACATTTTGGATCTGCTTAATTTGTCTTTATTGAATGGTTATGTACCACAGCTCTTTAAGGTTGCTGTAATTAAACCTTTACTTAAGAAGTCTGACCTTAATTCAGAAATTCTGGCCAACTATAGACCTATATCTAATCTAACTTTCAACTCAAAAATTCTAGAGAAAATAGTTACAGGTCAGTTGCGTAAACATCTACAAATAAATAATCTGTTTGAAGAGTTTCAGTCAGGGTTTAGAGCTCATGATAGCACAGAAACAGCACTAGTAAAAGTCACTAATGATATTCTCATGGCCTCAGACAATGGACTTGTGTCTATACTGGTCCTGTTAGACCTCAGTGCTGCATTTGATACAGTTGATCACAATCTTTTACTACAGAGGCTTGAATATGATATTGGGATTACAGGAACAGCTCTAAATGGTTTAAATCATATCTATCTGATAGATTCCAGTTTGTAAATGTAAATAATAAATCTTCTTCATACACCAAAGTTAGTCATGGAGTTCCTCAGGGCTCAGTGCTCGGGCCAATACTCTTTACTTTATATATGCTTCCATTAGGTAAAATTATTAAACAGCATGGAATAAATTTTCATTGTTATGCTGATGACACACAATTATATTTGTCCATTAAACCCAATGAATCCAATCAGTTACTTAGACTACAAGCATGTCTTAAAGACATAAAAACCTGGATGACCCTTAATTTTCTCCTGTTGAACACAGACAAGACCGAGGTTTTGGTTTTTGGACCCGAGCACCTTAGGAATAAAATTTTCAGTCTTTCTCCCTCCTTAGATGCATTAATCTGTCCTCCAGCTCTAATGTTAAAAATCTTGGTGTTATTTTTGATCAGGACACGTCTTTTATCCCCTACATTAAAAACGTTACCAGAACTGCCTTCTTCCACCTGCGTAATATCACAAAGATTAGAAACATCTTATCTAAAAATGATGCAGAAAAACTGGTCCATGCATTTGTCACGTCTAGACTGGACTATTGCAATGGTTTATTATCTGGATGTCCAAATACATCTTTAAAACGTCCTCAGTTGATCCAAAAAGCTGCTGCCAGAGTCTTAACTGGAGTTAATAGGAGAGATCATATTTCTCCAGTTTTAGTTTCTCTCCATTGGCTCCCTGTCAAATCCAGAATATAATTCAAAATCTTACTTCTAACCTACAAAGCTCTCAACAACCTAGCTCCATCTTATATTCCAGATCTTATTGTTCCATATTTTCCTAACAGAGCACTTCGCTCTCAGGCTGCAGGTTTACTTGTGGTTCCTAGAGTTTACAAAAACAGAATGGGAGGCAGATCCTTCAGTTATCAGGCTCCTCTCTTGTGGAACCAACTTCCAGTTTCTGTCCGTGAGGCTGACACATTATCCAGTTTTAAGACTGGGCTTAAGACTTTCCTGTTTGATAAATCCTATAGTTAGTGTCGGCTTGGGTTTCCTGAGCTGTCCTTTAGTTATGCTGCTATAGGCTTAGACTGCTGGAGGACAAACTGACCACACTTTTCTCTCTGCTACTGTCTTTACTTACTCTGCTCAACATTGTAATTATTTTTTCTAACATGTGTTTTTTTTGTCTTTCAGATACACCTGGACCTACCATTCTATGTTCGTCTGTTTCTCCTTCCTGTCCTCTCAAACCAGCCGGTCAAAGCAGATGGCCGCTTGTCCTGATCCTGGTTCTGCTGGAGGTTTCTTCCTTTTGAAAGGGAGTTTTTCTTTCCACTGTTGCCACTGTGCTTGCTCAGGATGGGAGACTGCGACAAAGCCAAGGTTCATCTTGTCTGCTGGATTCCTTAGATAGAGAACTTTACAAGTGGCTTTTATGTAAATGTTCCTGTAAAGTGACCTGAGACAACTTTGTTGCGATTTGGCGCTATATAAATAAACTGAATTGAATTAAGGATGTTCATGAGATAGTTTGCTAACAGACAGAGTTGAACCCAATAGTTAAGAGGGAAACTTTTATAAACAGATCTTACACGACCAGATAGCTCTCAGTGTATCAGCTGGAAATGACTCTCAGCTACCACCACACCAAATTTTAGCTTAGTTTCTGTAAAACAAACATTTTTTGTGTTTGCTGACGTCAGATGGTTGTGACGGCCAAATTGAATGTTGACCCTGAATATTATTTAGTTGTACATCAAATGATTTCCTTCTTGAGCAGACGTTTATTTATCAACGAGGCTTAAGGAAATTTAACTTAAACATCTTACACAAAACTTTTTTTTACAACATTTTTCAAGTCGTTGCGTTTAGAACTAGACTGAACCTTAAATACTTAGAAACACAAATATACACGTTTATTTTGCATATTTTTCCGCTAACATATAACATGTTAAGCCAAAATGTAATATATTGCCACAAGAGCCACTTTACAGAATCTTATATTCCTACAGGATATTGGAAAAACTTGATTTATAAAGCACGCTAACTACGCTACAACGAGACAAAGCCTGAAACAAAGTATTCTAGACTATCTGTCATAAAGAAAGTTTATTTTCCAATTGTGCATGTGACCCTTTGATCGCTTTAAACATCTTGATGTGGCCCTTTGGGAAAAAAAAAAAATGTTGCTCACGTCTGTTCTTGAGTTTCATGAAAATCCATTCAATAGTTTATGAGATATTTTGCTAACGCTACATATAAACAGCACACATAGACAAATACATTGTCACCCTTCTGCTCTCATGGGTGATCATGCCTACCTGGGTTTCACTGCGAGTCCCGGCTTGTTTTTTGCCTCCTACGTTAACGTAGCTGTCCATGAAGAGAGCGGGAACGATTCAACAAAAAAGCTTCAAACTCAACATGTCACCGTTATAATCAATGGTACTCACTCCAGTTTCTTGAACCTCTCGAAGCCAGCAGCAACGTACTGAGCTCCGGTCTTGAGGTCCTGCAGGTCCGTGACCTTGTGGCCCTGCCTGGGGGTGTACAGGGTCCTGACGGCGAGCGGCGCCCCGATGTTTTTAGTCACTTCGTTCAGAAACGCCTCCATGGTAACCACCTGACGCTGGTTAACCACAAACCTCCGCCCACTGTAGAAGGGGTCTCCGTTCCTGTACACCACCACGCTCTTCACCGGAGGCAGGTGAGCTGTGACTGCAGCGCTGGCAGCCATCTCTGAGCAGAAACAAGTCCAAACACTTCACTGTAGCACACATCAACAGAAACAGCGTGCAGTCACTCACAAACTTACCGGAGGATGAAGATCCAAAAGAAGAAGATCAGCTCTGATGCTGCGGTCTGCGTCTTCCTCTGCTCCCCTCACAGACACTACTACTTTGACGGCGGTGAGTATTTCCTGGTTGCTATGGCAGCAGGGCCAGCAATGACTGGCTCTGTGAGCCAAACCATCGGCAGAAAACACAACAAGACTGACAGAGGAGGAGGGGGGAACCAACGGGTGGGTCTGTGCGCTGGAAGCTAAATCAATAACATCCACAGCCTATTTTAAATTATTTAAAGTAAATTACGCACTTTAAAAAGACTGGACAGAGCTATTACTCAAAGGCCTCTCGACAGTTCTGTTCAGCCATCGTTTCATGAGCAACTTGTTTTGCGTGGTTCATTTGACCTTCACGCCTCTCTGCGGCTGTGCAACAACAAAAACTGTGTCATAAGAAACTACCGTGAGAACGTTTGTAAGGGTCCTTGAGCAGCGAGCGACAGCTCCTGCTTTGTGACCCCGACGGGAAATCTGGGCCTCGGAGACGCAGCATAAAATGTGTTTTATAACCAGCAGTCTACTCTAACCTGGACTCAACAGTTTCCCAGTAAAGTTGGACTTTAAACTTGCAAAACACTCACTGAAGCACAGCGCAAAGCAGTGTTTAGAGAAAAATACAATTTATTCATTATTATACGTCGAACTACACAAACAAATACAAATGACAAATGATTTGAAAATAAATATTTATTCGATGTCTCGCAGAGGTGCTGCTTGAGCGAGTTCAGGCGACAGAACCGTTCCACATTAAGTCCAGCTTACGGTACGTTAATCTTCACGACACGCTCAGTCTGTTCTTCAGTGCTAAGTACTGCAGAGGAGAACAAAGACGGTTATTCTGTTGCACAGCTATCTACTAAAACTGAACATTTTCATGAGCACGTACAAAAAGTTTTACTTTTCATGCACTAAATTACATATTGTAAATGAGCAACCGTGCATTTTCTAAAATACCTTTTGTGTGTAGAGTAGGAGGTTACTGTTGAATAGATGCAAAAAAACAGGCTGTGTTTGGATGATTACCTTTTTTCTGCTGTCAATAGCCTGTTGGAGCCAGACCAGTTCCATAGTCAGTGTGTTTCTATGGAGACGCAGGTCCTCTGGGGTTCGGGGCACGTCCTGAGCCAAACGGCACTGCCGAGGGGGACCTGAATAAAAGATTACAGATCCTAAACGTCTCAGAAAGCCTCCACTCTTCAGCTTCATTTTTATGGTCTGCAACAGCAACAAATGTGTCAGAGGTGTTGGAAAAGAAACTGAAATAAATAAATAAAACCTATGAAGAAAGCATGCACTTCGTAGTGATTTTCAAGTTACCTGACTTGTAGATTAGTTTTAGAAAAGTGGAAGTTAAAGGAGGTTTTTTATGGAGTGGCAGAACAGCTTGAATAAGTGAATTTGACAGTGAATCTTAGACGATCTTATATTAGCTCTTATTACTGTTGTTTTTTGTTTTTTTTTACAATTTATACTTTTGTTGGGTGTAACTGGGACCCTGTGTACACAATTTCGTCCACATGTACCACATGTGGTGCGAATGACACATAAAGAAACTTTGACTTTGAATGTCTTGCAGCGCGTGACATAGTTTTCACCTTTACGAGAGTCCCTGTCTGGCTCCACATCATTCCAGATGTTGGAGGACCTCACGCTCTCCATCACCCCTCCATCTGCACCTCCACTAACGCTCAGCCTCTGCTCCTCCTCGTGCCCTCTGGTTGGGATGCTGGGTGAGCAGCAGGCCTGTGAATCGTCTCTTTCCGCCTCTTCTCTCTCCAGCAGCACATGAAGATCTGCTGCCTCCTCTGATGACGGAGCTGAGGTCAGGGGAGCACAGGCTGCTTCTGAAGGCTTGCACGAGGAGCTGACAGGAGAGTCCAGTGGACCGTCCTGAAAACACACAAACTAAAACGATTAGGATTTTTTTTAGATTACAGTCCCTCATGCATCTTTACAGGCTTTTTTTTAATACATATTTAAAAACGTATAATTACATCGTCTGTGAAGAGAGGAATGGAAATGACAGTTTTAGTCCACTTTAAATGGGTCAAGCCACCGTCTATATCTACCACAATCTCCTCAAAGTCTTCACGCGCACGTCGGACTTCACTTCTGACGAGGTATCCGCGTGCACATGCCTATGAAGAGACAAGTATTCAAGTAACGAACGGCTCTGCTAACGACTTAGCAGCTGATTTAGCATTAGCTAAGATACAATTAGCTTGAGAAATATGGCTCTCAAACAGCTGTGAGTAAAGAAACTCAACGTCCTGCTCTACTGGAACGCGGAACTACCGTGGTTACCTGGAAGTTCGAGATTATCTTCGTCCATTTGCTTCTGTCCATTGCTATGGTTACATGACGGCGCTTCTACAAAGAGCGGGACACGAGCTCAAACTTTTTACCCATTTCCGGCGCGCACCCTTCAAATTAAAATTCTAGCCTTGTTACATTTGCAATATTTAAGCACTATTTTTATTTACGTTGGTGAATATTTATAAAATAATATTTTGTACGGCGTAATTAAAATAATTAGGTGCTATACAAATGATTTAAACCGTTTTTAATCGACGCGGTATTTTATTTTGAAAAAACACGCATATGCGGAAGTGAACCCGTGTTTGTGTTCCGGTTGCGATGTTACACTCGTCACATGGCACTTTTTTCTTTAAAGTTTTTAACCACCGCTAACGAAAATGAGTGGTGGTTCAAATCAGAGAACTTTGTTCCAGACTTGGGGTGCCTGCACTTCCCAGAACAAACCAGTTCAACCAGTAAGAGGAGGTAAAAGGGCCGCTGAAGCTCGCGGGACTGCTTCAAGCAGCAACAGAACTCTAGCTCCAACACATCCTCCTAGAATTTCTCCATGGGCAGTAATCGGTCAGGAATCCTTACATGCATCAGAGAAACAAGCGAGGTCAGAGGCGGACATACTTGCTGATGAAGAAGACGATGATGACTTGATGGTAGTAGCTGTCTATGAAGCTGAGAAAAACCTTCAGCTTGAAAATCCCAGCTGTTTTCAAGATCATTCAGCATCTACAAACCCAGCTCTTTCTCCCACCCCATCACGTGGGCGGATATATCCAGACTTTCCAGGCTTTGATAGCTCCTCAGCTAATGTTTGGATCTATCCCACCAACTACCCCATCAGAGAGTACCAGCTGAAGATGTCAGAGGTTGCCTTGTTTCAGAACACACTTGTGTGTCTTCCTACTGGTCTGGGGAAAACTTTCATAGCCTCTGTGGTTATGTACAACTTTTACCGCTGGTATCCATCAGGAAAGATTGTGTTCATGGCTCCCACAAAACCTCTAGTGGCCCAGCAGATTGAGGCCTGTTATAAAGTGATGGGGATCCCTCAGGTACACATGGCTGAGCTGACAGGTAACAAGCCCATCAAAACAAAGCGCAACACTAAAACTTTCCATCATAGGTGTCGTCATGGTCTCTTTGGTGCATCTGTTTTACAGGCAGCACAGCAGCAAAGCAGAGACAAGAGTTGTGGATGTCCAAGCGGGTCTTCTTCCTCACCCCTCAGGTCCTGGTGAACGATCTGTCCAGAGACACGTGTCCAGCCAAGCAGGTGAAGTGCGTGGTGATCGATGAAGCTCATAAGGCGTTGGGCAACCACGCCTACTGCCAGGTAAACAAGCCTTGTTACAATTTAGTACTTCTTTTCAGGAATAATTATTTCTACACACTGTGGTATATAGGTCTGTCGCGATAAACAATAAATCAATTAATCGCACGATAAATGAAAATTATCGACCTCGTTTTCATTGATCGGCTTTATAGTTTCTTCGTGTCTCTCTCTTTCTGAAGACACTGGATGACAAAAGGTTCAACTCAGGTGTTCTTCACAGACCCCTCCCTTTCTCTTTTCTCTTTAAAATCAATTTTAACGATCCAAAATTGCATTTTTGGATCGTTAAAAGCAGCTAAGTTGAGAAGCTAAGCTACGAGCTAAGCTAACAGGCCGACCTCGAGAAAAACCTCAGTCTTGTCGAAGCTCCAAAATTCACAAAAGGGAGACAGCCCATGTCACGTCAAGGGGCCTCCCTCCCATTTTCCTGAAGAGACACGCTGCTCACTCCCTCACTATCCATCCTTCAGGTCAAACAGTCTTATACTGCCATCCAGTGGTCAAAGAAAGGTACTACACACAAAACAAATTGACCAACATTTCTTTTTAAAATTGACAATAATTACAGTAGTAAAGTAGTAGAAGGTTGCTGGTTCAAATCCCGCTCCGGGGGCCTTTCTGGGTGGAGTTTGCATGTTCTCTCTGTGCATGCGTGAGTTTTCTCTGGGTACGCCATTTTCCTCCCACAGACCAAAAACATGCATGTTAGGCTGATTGGTAACTCTAAATTGTCCCTAGGTGTGAGTGAGAGAGTGAATGGTTGTTTGTCTCGTTTGTCTCTGTGCGTCCCGGTGATGGACCTGCGACCTGTCCAGGGTGTCCCTCGCCCCTTGCACAGTGATTGCTGGACATGGGCATTGGCGACCCCCGTGACCCAAAATGTAAGAAGTGGGTAAAAGGTAATAGATGGATGGATTATCGTTTATCGCAATATTTTCTGACACAATTAATCGCCCAGCAAAATTAGTTATCGTGACAGGCCTAACTGTATACCTTTATTTCACAAATGCTAAACTAAAAAAAAGTTATTTTTCTTTTTTAACAAACCGTAGTGTAACTGGACCTCTTCTTCTTGTTCAGGTGATCAGACTTCTCAGCAGCCAGACCCTGCAGTTCCGTATCCTGGCTCTTAGTGCTACTCCCGGAGGAGATGCAAAGGTGAGAATAAAACATTTCAGTCCTAATTTATGAGCTTTAGAGTCGACGTGTCCTTGCATTTGATCTCTGACCTCTCCACCCTCGTGTCGTCTCGTCAGTCCGTGCAGTCCGTGATCTCCAATTTGCTCATTTCTCACGTTGAGCTGCGTTCAGAGGAGAGTGCAGACATTCAGGCTCACTCCCACCAGCGAACTGTGGAGAAAGCGGTGGTTCCTCCGGGTGAGACCCTCTCAGCGTACCAGGCGCGCTACCTGCAGGTAGGCGCACGCAGCGGCTGTGTTGTAACCGTCTCCTCCTGTTGGTCTGCTAATTCCCTGAACGGATTCAGTTCGGCTTCACCAAATTGAATTCAACATTGAATTTGATTTAATTTGATCTCAAATCAGTTTGGTAAGTGGCACTTCAGCTAGAAAACCAAATTTGTATGGACGTCCAACAAAGGAGAGAGGAATGAAAAGGGTAACAGCTTTGACATCTGTTGGAAAAGGCAATTTAATAATCAAATAAAGAACAATTCTGGTTGTTTTTCTTTTATTTGGAATCAAACGCAGGGTATTTTTAAACTGCACATTTTGTTTGTCCCTTTTAAAATTGTTATATATTTGCCTACAGAAAATTTAAATTTCACGACAAACGCACTTCTTGCTAACACACCGTAAATGTATTGATTTATTGTTGGTAAACATTTGAGCTAATAAATTAGCTTTAAGCTACTGTAAAGAAGCGCAACTTTAACCTTTCTGTTTCTTGGGTCTTTGCTGCCACCGTCTGGGCACTGTCATCCTGCGTCTTTATTGAAAACCACTAAACTTGATTCTGAGTCGCACATTTTCTGTCCGTGTGCTTGTTTCTGGGTCAGTTGCTGTTAAATGACTCGTTTATCTTTACAGCTGTTGCACTGCGTGGCCATGCTTTGGTGGACTCAGCTGTCCTGGATTATTAACCAGCGCTTCCTGCTGTCTGTCTGTGGACGTTTCTGCACTGGTTCGTTGTTAGGAATGAAACACCTGGATTGATTGTGGTCCAGCTTCAAGTGCTTCTCCTTCAATTTCCCTTTTTTGTTTCTCTTTAGATTTTAGCAAGATAAATGTTTGTATTCCTGTTTAGTTGGTTTAATTGTATTCACTGTTCCTGCCTGACTGTAGGGCGTCTGCACTCTGCCGGTTAAATTCTGATTTTCTGCCAAAAACACTTCAGTCAGTTGTGAAGTCGTGCTGGCAGAATGTATTCATCGTGGAGGAAGTCATTAAAATGAACCAGTCATGCAGACAGGTGCTTTTTTACTTTCGTTATCGGCCCTTTCGTCACCCGTCAGCAGGTGTTGTCCATCGTTGCTTGCTCCTCTGCGTGGCGGTTCTGATCAGGCTCTGATAGAGGCTTTGCAGACAGATGTGTGTGTTGTCAGGTGCTCAGGATTTGTCTTGAAGGTCGCATGCTTTGTGTTCAGGTGAAAACAGGTGACGTAATTTAGGTTGAAGGAAATTATTCGTTCAAGAAGCTTGAGCACAAGTGTTCTTCTTGTATATGATTTAAGAAAATGTTTCAACACACACTGGAAGTACAGCAGTGCCTCGTGTCTGCGAAGTAGCGACGTTATATTTATTTGAGTATTTTTATATACTGTAATACTTTGTAAACCCTTCCCACACTCTTGCAGTGTTCTAAACTCTTAAATCTACGTCATTTTAACAACATACGTACTGCACTGTATACGTAGCTCCTAAGTTTTACTTAACGGCTGTGCAGAACAGGAGCGGCTCGGTTCTGGTCTGACCAGAGAGATGAAACAAGTCCTGGTGGGCTCTGGATGGAGCCCCGGACCTACAGCGGTGCGGCCCCCACTCTGAAGTACTCGTGGGCCAGCTAGGATCTCTCGGGTTCACAGCTGAGTCTGGGGTTCCAGTTCTGGTTCAGTTCAGTGCAGCCCTTGAGTGCCGAAGTGCATTTTGGGGGTGGGGGGTGGGGGGGCAGACCTTCAGTTGGCTGGCGCAGGACAGGAGGGGGTCAGCTGAGTCCAAGTCTGGATGAAAAAGGTCCCGATGGGCTAAGGAAACAGCCCCGGACCTTCGGCGGCATATCCCTACTCTGAAGTCCTCGTGGGCCAGCTAGGATCTCTCGGGTTCACTTCTGAGTCTGGTTCTGCTCCGGTTCTGGTCCGGTTCGGTGGGTTCTGTGCAGCTCCCTGCATCTGCTGGGTGCCGAAGTCACTGTAGTAAGCGCCAAACTTGTTCCGATCAGATCAAAACTTTCCCTCTGGTATTTCAGCAGAAGGAAACGGGGCTTCTGGGAAATGTAGTCGTTACGATTGGGAATACAGTGTAGGCTTACCGAGAGAAAACTACAAAATGACGGCGCCTGTCCCAAGTATTTTATTTTTTTGTCAACTTTTTACTGTACAGTATCCAGTACTGTCCCAATCACGTGAATGAAATTAAAGTTGACAATCATGTGTCCTTTACATTTTTTTTGGTACAATATTAGGGACTGTACGTTCACAAACCACGATAGAGCGAGTTTACGAAAGTCAAACTGGGAAGTAGCGAGGGACTACTGTACAACAGTATTCATACACCGTTTAGTGTGCAGTTTGAACAACAAGCAGGACTGTAGTGTCTTGGTGTTGAGCTTATTGTGCTACCATCACAGTAACTCGGCACCAACTTCTGTTGTGAACTGGTTGTTTTTATTAAAACTAGGCCCCACAGGACAAAGCAGAGTCTTTTATTGCATTTTTTTTAATGTATAAAGTGTAGTTCATAATCTGTAATAGTTCACTTTCATATATATCCATTTTTTCTTGTATTTTTACAGTTTACTTTTAAAACTGAGATTTAGATGAGCTTGTCCTAGTCATGTAAATTAAGCATAATTTATGAACATGTTTTTTTTTTTCCTGCCCAAATTTACATCACACCATCAAGTTGTGCAGAAAAATAAGTGAAACTTTTTGTTTCAAATATCCAGACAGGACCAGCACATTTTATTCAACAAAGAAAACTACAGCAGCAATAATATGTTGCATGTGGATTATTACAATACATTACAACGTCACAAAACAATAAAAAAAAAGAACAAGAAAGTAAGAAGTAGATTTTTTTTATGAGAAAAACAAAACCTGCCTACATGTATCATGACAGTGCTCTCACAGATCATTGCTATTAACATTCAATTCAAAATCAATTCTTTGGATTTCTCTGTCAAATAAGTGATTTTTAATTCAACTTTATTATAACACTACCAACCCAACCCCCAAAACTATTAATTTTATTGCACACTTTTTGGAGAATTGTGTAAAATATTAACTTCTGGTTTCCAATTACACCCATTCAACATCAGTTTAGATTTATAAACATTCCTGTCAGAGTAAAAATCACCACAGTGATGATTTGGCTCGCTCTCTTTAAATTCCCATCATCTTTGCATTTCTTGACTGATGACAGAATATTAAGAAACATTAGTTTTACGTACAGAACTATAATCACAGTAGATGATCCGTGCACTTATGTTTTGTGGTTGCATCGCTTCTAATTAACAGCAGTGGTGTTCGCAATACATTACTGACGCTAACTTAAAAGGTAGAAAGATTAAAAAGTACACTAATGAATACTTTTAATGTAATATTACCTTGTTTCACCAACTGCAGAGAAAGGATCGAACAGGATCTGTTTGAAGTTTTGATTGTCATTCAGCAGAGAGACCCGTTCTTTGTGTTGGATGCTGGAGCTTTACAGTTTGAAACGCATGAACACGCCGTGTTCACAGTTTTTAAATCACCATCTGTTTTGATGTTAAACATGTTTGAGGACACTAGTTCTGGTTTGGATGATTTCTGTTGAACCGATCTCTGTCCACATCGCTAACAGAGTTGGATTAGGGTTCGTTGTGGCCCGGAAACTGTCTTTGTAAATATTGCAGCCACGGTTGAAACTAAATCTGCAGTATGAGCTGTATTTAAGAGTTTTGGACATACAGAAAGAAAGAATGGAGCAACAGTGACCGCTCCATAAGCAACAGATGGTGCCACCAACATGGCCGACTTAAGGCTGTGTGCCAGCTGAAGCCCGTCTTTGTGAACAGACAGACGGCTGCGTGTTCCTAACACCACTCGATGGCCACCACAACCACAGAGCACCAACAGTTGATACGATCAACATTTGTATTAAGAAAGAAAACGGGTCTGTATCCATCACAAAGCAGGAGGTAAATGCAGTGCTTCTCTACAGCATCTGGTCTGTGTTCATGAGAATATGGCAGTGGTTAAGTACGGTTCCCTATTGCGTGAGGAAAATAAAGATTTATTTAATATGAAAGTGAAGGGCAAAGAAATAAAGTAGGTGTTATTTCTTTGATAAATGAAAACGTATGTGCTCCGGAGTGTGCTAGGCTTGTGGTCACTTCAGATAGGGATGACTAAAGATGATGCACCTGAGGCTGGGGCAGCGTTAAGAGTTTGAGGCTCAAAGGGTCGCAGGCGGGTGGGGGTGGTGGTGCGGCCGTCCCATCAGCGGCGCTCCAGGAACCAGATCTCGTTCTGCCGGTTGCTGTGGGCAGGGTTGGTGTAGCCGGCCACGATGAACGAGTCGTTGACGCACACACCTGGAGAGTCCAGCAGCTCAGCCATGGCGCTGATCTGATTGATGATGGTCACTTCATTGGTGGGACCAGTGAAAGCCCTGTTCAAAGCAGAGGGGGTGGGGGTGGTAATTGACCAATGTGGGTTCAACTTTACACCAATTAATAGTGTAATTCTTAAAGAGTAAGGTCATTTAGAATAAAGGGATGCACGATATTATCGGCATGGTATCAGCTGATATTAGCGTTAAAGTTCAATATCGGACATCGGCCATTCCATCAAAATAACTCACCGATATAAAAGACGCTGTTTTTGTATGACAACCCAGTGACAAGGACGCCTGCAGCACGTGATGACATCACGCACGCCTACCTGATCTCATGACAGAGAGGAAAATTCAGAATGTCGGCGGTATGGAAGGTTTTTTTTTTTTCCGTTGATGATGTCGGACTCTGAATATTTTTGGACTACTTTGAGCCTCGTTACATCGTCCCCAGTCGGAGATATTTTTCTGACGTAACTTTACCCGAGTTACAAGCCGTCATTTCCGACGTCATTGAGAAGCTAATAGCCGATAGCACTTGGGTGAGTTTTACCACAGACATTTGGACGTCAAGTGTTAGCCCCGTTAGCATGATCAGTCCTACAACACAATGGATAGACAAAAACTTTGATCTTAAAAAGTCTGTCCTTCATGCACACGAGTGCAGAGGATCCCACACTGCAGCTAGGAACCTGGAACAAACCTCCACAAGTGAGACAGCATCACAGGTGACTAATGCTAATAAATAACATTTAACACTTTTCATTATAAAAGTTAAAGTGCTCTGCAGATTATATGGCTGTTACTGAATATATGTCACCAGCTCTTACAGCTGTTGCACAATTTTAGTAGCAAATAAGCCTAAATAAGATGCTATGTTCTGACAAAGACAAGTATATAAAATATCAGTATCGGTTATCGGACAAATAAGTTTTAACATATCGGTATATCGGCCAAAAATCCAATATCGTGCATCCCTAAAAGATACATTTGATTTTATTCTCTACTAACCTTGTGTATACAGTAGTGGCAGGCCAGACCTCTATGATGATCTCGTTGTCATCAGGGTGTGGGGGTTGGTCCTGGTGCTCCAGAGGAAGGTAGTACGCCACGGTGACATCTTGAGAGAGCACCGAGTGGTTCGCATCTGTCCTCACTACTGTCAAAATGGGCAGCGTCATGCCGAGGTAGTCACCTATAATCAAGAAAAACGTTTCTAAACGGAAAGCTTGTAGTTTTGAAGAAAACTAATTTCCAGTAAAATAAAGGTCTTGATGGGGTCAAGACGCTACAACGAGAATGTGTTGAATGCTTTGTTGCTTTAGGACTCACGTATGGAGTTCTGCTGGCAGATGTATCTCATTATCCTCATAAAACCATAGCAGATGCTCTGTTCATACGTGTCCTCGCGCATCGTTATACAAGCCCAGTGGCCCTTTTCATAGTGGCGTTTCTCAAACAGCACCTCCCCACACTGGAAAACACAGACAAGATCAAAACACAAGGTTAGAACACCAAGCTGTCTTTTAAGTGCCACTGCAATTACAACTTTTTAGCGTGAGCGAATGTCTTAATAGTTGTGAATTTTAAACTAGAAGTATGTGAAAGCTTTATTTGCACATTCCCGAACCATTTCACAACGTACTAAAACGTGCTCGGAGGTTAGGGCGTTATGACACCTTTGTTTCACTGGAGTCTCCAGACGAGTTTTAATGAACTAATTAAGTGGAGGTAAACCAGTTAGCCCTCTTTATTTATACACTCCCCAAAGGAGTTTAAACAGCGTGGGTGACACGATTGTCCTGAAATAAATAGTGGACCTGCAGTCGCATGATTCATGTCCGTTCCTTAACGTTAAGATGCCTGGTTGTGTTTGTTTGTGTTTTACAAGTGTATGTTTGCAATCAAAGACTTTGATTGTTGTTATTTTGCTATGTGTATAATAGAAACTAAAATGTATCTTTTTTTTAATTATAGTACTCCGCAGTGTCAAACAAACATAAGTACAAATATGGTTAGTAGAAGTATTTCATCTAATGTATGCAAAGATTCAAGCCAGGTTAATTAATCTGGGCCATAAGTAATAGCATTTAAACTCTATAGATTAGAGTCGTTTTATTTTGTGTTCAGTAGAATAGAAAACAGCGTTGTACCAGCTGGCAGCATAGCGTGTCCTGGTTAAAACAAAAGCAGATCAATACCTTCTCTTTTCGCACGAGGAGCGTAAAAGGAACATGCTCTCTTTGACTGCGTCCGTGGTTGTTGCTGCTTAGCTGCTGGATGGGTTCTGCCATATCTGCCAAACAACCAAGCAACATGTTAGTTGTGAATTTAAAATACAGGAGTGGTCCCTCGCTGCTTCGCAGTTCCACTTTGGCGCACTCGCTCTTTCGCGGTTTTTCCATTGTCAACTTTAATATTACTCAAGTGATTGGGACGGTGTGGGATTAAAAGTTAACGTGAGCAGGAACCAACCAATGGGACAAAAAAAAACAAAAACAACTTTGGACAAGCACCACCATTTTGTAGTTTTCTTTCAATAAGCCTATACTGTAATGCAAGTCAAAAGAACTACACGGCCCAGAAGCCAACAGTGCTTCCAGCC